CAATCCGTATGTCTTTTCCTTTTCTCGCATTATTGTACTGGTTAGGAATGTACAATGTTGAATTGATGTGGTTAAGGGTGAACATTCAGGAACTGCAAAGCTAGCTGATGTGTGCTGGGATGCAGAACAAGTGAATACATGCCACTTGCCCCAACTGCTCAATTGAATCCTCTTCTCTGAGAACTTTCCCCAGTATTGAGATGTGGACCTCAATAAGTCATGACTATCCTACATAACCCTGCCCCTGGGCCATAGCTGAATGATCCATGAGTGGACTTCCGGCTCCATGATGGGCTGGAATTTGGGATTAAAATAAAGATGCCAACTGATACGGGTTGGACTTGAGAACAAGAGAATTTGAGAACAGTGGAATGAAGAAAGAGTCCCTTAAACAAATAGAGTCCGAGGCAGAAACACTAAGAATGGTGGCTTGGACTCCTCCCACTGTGAGTGTGTTAACAGTTTTTACCACTCAGAGACCACGTCACAGTAACCATCCTGAGTCAAACCCTTTCTCATTAACCCATCCACCGCTCACAAACCATCTAAGCACTTTCAGTGAATAAGTCACCTTCCAGGCAATGAGGACATGGTATTGTTGGTGCTGTCTAGTCGATTCCAAGTCACAGCGACCCCAGCAGAATTTCCCATAGGGTTTTCTTGACAGTTATCTCTATGGCAGGTTTTTCTCTTATGGGGCCACTGGGTGGGTTTGAGGAAGCTCTGGTGGCGTAGTGTCTAAAGCAGTTGACTGCTAACCAGAAGGCTGGAGGTTCAAACTCACCAGCCGCTCCTCAGAAGGAAGGTTGGGCAATCTACTTCCGTAGTGATACTGCCTCGGAAACCCAAGGAGGGGTTGCTGTCGCTGAGTCGGATCTGACTCGATGGCAATGAGTCTGGGTTTTTTTTTTTGGGGGGGGGGAGTGGGTTTGAACCAGCAACCTTTCAGTTAGCAGCCAAGTGCTTAACCACTGCACTACCAGGGCTCGTACTAGGATGAAACAGTAAATAAAAGCAGATACAAAAAACAAAACCCCACTGTCATGAAGTCGATTCTGACTCATAGTGACCCTACAGCCCAGAGCAGAACAAGCTGTGAGAGTGTCCCAGAGCTCACAATCCAGCAGCAACCCAAGAAACAGGCAATCTCAACACAGCTTTGGACGTGCTCCTTTTCAGGGACAGAGGATGCTGCAGTGAACGGCAGGGAGGAGGGAGACCTAAGTGGCCCAGATTCCCCAAGGAAGAGTGAGACTGAGCCAGGAAGCTGCCACGGGCGGGGGACGGAGCAGATGCAGGAGCCTTAGAGGCCATGTTCAAAATCAAGGGACTGAAAGAGCCGAATGTGGCTGAGGTAGGGCGAGGGGGCTACAGAGGAGGTTTGAAAGCCAGGCAGGATGGAGCCAAGGATGGCATTACAAGCCACTTTAACAGGTCTGGACCACATCTTACAGGCAACAGGAAGTCACTTCAGGGTTAGTTTCCAAGGTAGAGAATGGAACCAGAGGCAAGACTGGAAGCAGTTAGGAGGCTGTTTCAGTTGTCCAGGCAAGAAACTACAAGGCCTGAATTACCATGTATCACTGGAGATAAGGACCTCTGGACAAGTTCAAGAAATAAATTTAAGACCTCGAACCGACACGACACAGTGACAGAATTCAGATCCTGACCAAAAGAAGGACTCAATAAGCAGGCAGTTGTACCAAAACTAGCGTCACCTACTAAAAAGAACACACACCCAGATCAGCCTGTAAACCAGACAGTCCTGACATGATAGGAACCACCTACCTATGCTAATACAGGAGCCTCTACTCACAAGTAGCCATGTGAGATGTCAGAGGGAAACTAAACTTTTAACTTTGTTCCATTTTCATTAATGTAAAGTCCTAAGAAGCTAATGGCTACTGTACTAGACAGCACAGCTCTAGCTTATTGAGACCTCCAACCTAATACAGGGGCTGTGGTGGCGTGGTGCCTAAGGCACCTGACTGCTGACCAGAAGGCTGACGGTTCAAATGCACCAGCCCCTCCTCAGAAGGAAAAGTGGGTGATCTACTTCTGTAGAGACAGTGCCTCAGTAACCCAAGGAGTGGTTGCTATGAGTTGAGACCAACTCAACAGCAGTAAGTTTTTTTTTATTTTAGTTTTAACCTAATATATTAATAATCGTATATTAATAATAGTATTAATAATAATATATTAATAATTTTACGTGGCAGTATATGGCAGAGGCAGTAAACATGGGGAAAGAATTCCCTGACTCCGTTGGAAAGGTGTTCACAGTACATTAAATGAATAAAAACATGTACCAGAATAATATGCCCAGCAAGATTCTGCTTTCCAGTTTTAACAACTGAGTCCACGTATATGCAAAGAAAACAAAATGGAAAACCATAAACCAAACAGTGCTTATTCCTGAGAGTGAAAGACTTAAAAAGGCCTGTCATGTTCTTAGTTACATGTTACCAAACTGCCTGTTCTTTAGAGGAGAGGAAGGCAATGGACATGCATTACTCTCCTATCTGGGGAAACATTTTCAACAATCTCCTACTAAACTATAAACAGTCTACAAGTTAAACCGGCCCACACAACACACCTACAAGGCTGTTATTGTAAAGGTATTCAAAACAGTCATAATGATGAGACAATGTAGCAAAAATGTGTATACTTCACAACAGCTTCTGCAAAAACATGACTAGGGCAGTATCCTTTTCTTCCAAGACACAGTTTATAGGGGAATCAGACATCTGGGGTAACAAGAAGGTGCAGGCCTCCACAACAACGCACAAATTTATAAAATACTATAAAGCCAGAATTTTATATACAAATTACACCTTCCCTTTGCCATGATGAGACATGCCCTTAGGAACAGAGTCAGACAAAATCTGTCTCAAATCATTCAAATCTAGATCAAATATAAAATCATTTATCTACCAAAAATACAACAAATAGTGTTTTCTCATAAATGAATTTTCTCAATATATTGGTAACTGGAACATAATCCTTTAAACACAAACCTTACTTTTGAAGTCTGTTTCCCAAAAATTATCTACGTAACACACGTACTTATAACAACAACAACAACAAAAAACCTATCTGTCTGTACCCTCTTAATCCAAAATCACAGTTTCATCTTCACTGGTTATTTTGGGGCTTTTATTTTGAACATCAATTACTGATTCCACACTATCCATTACAATGAATCAATTACTAGGACTGACTTACTGCCATCAGATTCGATTCATAGCGACCCCTCCTTCGGTTTCCAAGGTGGTGTCACTACAGAAGTAGACTGCCCAACCTTCCTTCTGAGGAGTGGCTGGTGGGTTTGAACCACCAAACTTCTGGTTAGTAGTCAAATGCCTCAGGCACTATGCCACCAGAGCTCCTATACTAGGATTTAGGGAAGGGATATGTGCTTCTTCCTCAAATCACCCTTGACCACTATATAACGGCTTTTGCCTGTTTTTGTTCCTGATCTATACATACGCAACAATCAACACAGTGAAAGCCCTAACTGATGTAAGATGGAAACCTGTCAAGGAACCAAAAAACAAACCCACTGCCATCGAGTCACAGCGACCCTACAGGGCAGAGTACAACTGCCCCACAGGGTTTCCAGGGCTTTATATCTTCATGGAAGCAGATTTCATCTTTCTCCTGGGGAGCAGCTGGTGAGTTCAAGCCACCGACCTTTCGGTTAGCAACCCATTGCTTTAACCACAGCACCACCACAGCTTCTGTTGAAGAAGAAAAACTCACATATTTTCTCCTAACAGCCAGCGATACAAAAAGGCTAAGAACTGCATCCCGTCAAAGGCGGAAAACTTGCAACGCCCAAAAAATAAGGCAGTTCCACCAAGGTCCGGCTCTCACATCTCTCACCGTGTCTATATATGACATGCGCACATCATTTTTAATTTCTTTATCAAGTTGTTAGTGTTCACTGGCTATAATCCGGACACCTACTTACTTAAACCCTGTTCTAATTTACTGCCTCTAGTTTCCACCTGGGAAACCAACTAACTAGTTAGAATCAGAGGTAAAATGAACTGTTGCTGAGAACCTTGAAGCAGCATACACGTCTCATGCCATCGGTTTGGAGTGCTGGGGGCCCACTATGTAGCTCCTTCAGCCTTTCTCCCTAACGTGCAACGAGGTCTGATGTCAAGGCAACTCTACAAGCCAAGCCACCTCCAGACCCGTCAGGTGTGAAGATCTAACCCCGTGATTTCTGGCTGTGTCCGACTCCAGCACGCCTACGTGCAAAAAGACACCTGGGAGGGGGTGTGTCAAATGCCCAGTGCAACGGCAAACAGGTTTAATTTCGTCTTCTTTTACCCACAGCAGAAAAGGAGCGTTAGCAACTGCAACTAAAATTTAAGTTTTCCTGCAGCGTTCCAGAAACTCATGTGAAACGTTCAACAGCTCTTGCTAGCTATGGCACAAGAGCAGAGCCACCCTGGGCAGGTTCTGAAGTCGCCCGAAAAGGAAACCCCAGCCCTAACGTGCAGGCCGACCTGCAATCAGGCAGGAGTTGGAGGCGACTTGTGCGCCGCCCAGCGCGCACTCCCCCGACACACCGGAAGTTTTGAAATTTCCTGTCGGCTTCCAATAGGCAAAGTGCTTTCCCTCAACCACATCTGCGGGCCCTCGCCAACGTTCAAGGACCTCTCCGAGTCCCGCGCCCTCGGCCCGGCCCAGGTTCCACGCCCCGGCCCGTGGCCGGCTCCCCCCGACTTCACCCTGGCTGCCCGCGAATCGCGAGTCGGGCAGATGGGAGGCACCTGCGCCGCGGCCCGGGGACGCCGCGAGGGCAGGCGCCGCCGGGCGGGGATGTCCCAACTCCCA